GTGGCCTTGCAAACACCACCCTTCCCCCTTCCACAATCCCAGGGGTGTCACCAAAGAGAGTCCGTATCTAGAGGCGAATAAAGGTGTATTGATATATAAATACGTAGGAGGCCTCAGGGATGCATAAATACATAGGAAGGGGTACATAAATACATAGGAGGGGTCTCAAACAACAGATGAAGGGAAGGAGGGACAAGCGCCATCCCCTGCGCCGGCCGGGGCAGCCCCTTCCACAATCCCAGGGGTGTCACCAAAGAGAGTCCGTATCTAGAGGCGAATAAAGGTGTATTGATATATAAATACGTAGGAGGCCTCAGGGATGCATAAATACATAGGAAGGGGTACATAAATACATAGGAGGGGTCTCAAACAACAGATGAAGGGAAGGAGGGACAAGCGCCATCCCCTGCGCCGGCCGGGGCAGCGGGAGCCTCTCGGGGCCCTCGGCGGCCACTCGCACTCAGCCTCCTTGGTTCCTGCGTCTCCGGAGCTCGGTCAGTGAGTCCACGATCTCTGCAGAGCACAGGGGCGAGTGAGCCCAGCCAGGGCAGCCCCCGCCCGCCCACAGGCCCACTCCCGCCCGCCGTGTTGCATGAGGGCTCCCTCCACCACTGCTTTTCCACCATGTGAACAAGATCCATTATTTAGCGGAAGCACCAAAGGCAAGGGCATCGCTGCCTCGGCAGAGCCGCTCCTGCAATGGCAATTGATGGCTCCAAGCCCAGGCAGGAAATGTTCCTGCCCCACGTTGTTGCTGCTCTAGCTTATGGGAGCTGCAGCATAAACCACGCCCAACGCGTGTTTGACAGGCAGCTCCCCTTGCGCAGTGCCTAATGAACAGCGTCGTGATTATTTTTATGGCACCAAGAAATGTTGGCAGGCTTTTGTTACTAGGGCACTCCTTAGCTTAGGACAAGGGAGGTAATTTAGGGCTGACAAGGAGTGATGGCTCAAAGGTAAACCCAGACACCTTCAGAAAGAAGGCAGAGAGGGGCAAATTACCGACCAAAGCAACTAATTGATAAATGGGGTGGATTTGCCATCCCTTGAAAGCTCTCAGCAATGACAGGACGTCCCTTTAAAAGGAGCCTGTTGAGGGAATTCTTGGATCTGACCTTTGGTGTTAGTGGGAGCACAGGATCAGAAGTCAGCGTTTTCTTCCTGGATTAAAATCTAAATTATATTTCACAACAATTTTTGTTGTGGCTCAAGTTCGAGGGCCTGTGTCTCCTGCCAAGCGTTCTGCCCCTGGGAAACCAGGGCCGGGTTCCTCCCTAAATCCTGCTGCGGGGGTGAGCAGTGAAGGCTTTGAGCCGCTTCACCTGCTGTCATCGGTGTCCTGTGCCGCAGGGCTGCGTCGGCTTAGGAAGTCTGTTAGCCAGGGAGGGCTGGGTTGCTGCTAGCTCTGAGCAAGCAAGGGAAGGGCATCCTTGGAAATAACTGTGCAAAATGTCTGCATGAAAACAGAGGCAATAGGGCCCAGTGTTTAGGCCAGCCCTACGACATACCTGCTCTCACCCAACAGGTCAATAATGAAGCACCCATGGATCCCTTTAGCGAGAGAGCAGACATCCAGGGCAGCCCAGCAATGTGGTGGGGTGGGAGCAGGAAGCTGAGCCCGGCAGGAACACTCACGCTCTGCAGAAGGGCGCTGCGGCGGCTCGAAGGCCCGGCACTGGTCAATGATTTTCCTCAGCTCTTCAGGACAGTCTTCCCCAACGGGCTCCCGGTAATGGTGCTGGCAGATTTTCTCCCTGATCTCTTGGGGAGTGCAGCCTAGACCGACACACAGGCAAACAGGGATGGTAGCGCAGCGCTGGGCAGGGGCGGGCACGCTGAGAGCCTGCAAGGAGCCCCTCTCCGCCACGGCACCGCTGGGCAAAGAGATGCAACTAGGCCTCAGCACACGGGATCGTTGAGCAGAGACAGAACTGCTGCCGGGCAGGCGGTTTGAGCATGCGCTGGGATGCTCCACTGCGCCTGCCCTGGAGCCCCCAGAGAAGCTGTGTTTAAGCGCTGTTAAGCTGCAGGTGGGCCAGGCCCAAGCGTCATGGGTGCCACCATCGGGACCCACACACCTCAGGGTGCTGTGCCCGGGGCAGAGCGGACAGGAGCTGACCCCGTCCAGTGTTCTAGCTGGGGACTTTGACATAGGGGAACCAGGTGCTTCTGCCTCACCTTCAAACGGGATTTTGGAGGTGGCAATCTCCCACAGCACGATCCCAAAGCTGAAACAAGGGGAGCAAGAGTGTGTCAGCAATGATTCTGCTGCCTTGCCCTGCCTCCTTCCTTCTCCCAGAGGGGACTGCCAGCCACGGTAGCTGCCTGAAGGATGCCTGTCTGGTGCCTCCTTCCACAGCTCGCCACCTTGCCCTGGAGAGTGCTGGCCGGGACACACATACCTATATATCTCATAGGGTCTCTTATAGGGGTAGTAGATGTCCTTCAAGTTCTCAGGGGCGACGTAAGCCACTGTAGAGACTTTGTTCCAGTTCTTCTTCTTGACTTTCCTCTTGATGGACGTCTCTGTTTCACACAATTCAAATCCTGACAGCTGATTAAGAGGATGAGAAAGTAGTGAAATAGAGCCAAATGACTGAGATGCAAGTGTCTAAGGTGAGAGGAGAGATGAACACCCCTCCAGTTGTTATTCTGGACTATGATACTTCTCTTTTGAGGTGGTGGGAGGAGACATCCACTAAAACATGCAAAACTACCCCAAGCTCCTCTGAGTGCGGTCCTTACCTTCACGCAATAATCTCCGGCCACAAGGAACTTGCTACTGTTAATGCATCCGTGCAGCCTGGACTTCTTTTCCGTCTGGTGCAACCTGCAGCCGGCCAGAAGGAAGAGCAATAAGCAGGGATAACGCTCCTGTCTCCAGCTCCAGGCCAGCAAGCCCGGGGCAATGGGCACTGCCACACGGCAACCCGCTGCCCCCGTCGCCAGCAGCCACCTCGCACACGCGCGGCACCGGCGTCTCCCCGCCCGGGCTCACCGGTACAGGCCCCGCGCGGCTCCCAGCGCCACGCGCAGGCGCGTGTCCCAGCAGACCCGGGCTCACCGGTACAGGCCCCGCGCGGCTCCCAGGGCCATGCGCAGGCGCGTGTCCCAGCAGAGCTGCTGCGTGCTGAGCACCTGGCGCAGCGTGCCGTGCTCGCAGTACTCCATGACGATGGAGAAGCAAGGGCTCCGACCTGTCCCAAAGAGGTGCCCGTTGCTGCTGCCGCTTGCACAGAGGCTGGCCCAGGACCAGCCACCGCAGCGGCGCCTTCGGCGGCATCCCCGCGTCTTCCGGGGCCCGTGGCAGCCACCAGCGCCCCCCAGCTCCGCTGGGTGCAGCAGAACGGGCCGCGGGCGCTTGATTTTTTGGCCCAGGAGGTGTTTCCAGCTTATGCGTGAGGTCACCAGCGATGGCCCACACACGGAGTGCAAAAGAGTGAGCAACGTTCTTGGAGAAAGGCACCAATAACCAGGAAACTATTGGTGGACAGGTATGAAACAACACTCCCCTGGGCTCCGGTTTTCCTGCCATCCTGCTCTGCTCCCCCAGCTAGGCTCATATTTTCCTTTTTACACATATTTTTCCACTTCACCACAGTGCGCGGCGGCGGTGCAGACCTGCCCTATCTCTGCAAGGCTGCAGGACACTCTGTGCTCCTGGGAGGGAAGGGGAAGCCAGTCCCTGAGCACCCCCAGTGCCACCTCTCTGGAGGGACCAGGCTGCCCCCAGAAGCAGACGGGGCAGGAAGGGCAGAAGCAGGGCTGGACCCTTACCTTGCTCCTCGATGCAGATGCCGTACATACGCAGGATGTTTGGCGACTCAAACTTCTTCAAGGTTCGAATCTCTTTCTCAAAAATGTCCCTCACCTTCCTGCAGGAGGTGGCAGCAGGATGAGGGTCCTGGAGCAGGCGTGACAGTCACGCCGCGCCAGCACCCCGTCGTGCCCAAACACCCCGTCCCGGTGACACCTCCTCTGCAGCACGTGCACTTCCCTCCCCTCCAGACTACAGCTCTGCCCTGGGAAAAGTGGCACCATCTCCCACCAGCCTCCATTGGTGGCACCCAAAGCTGTGGCAGGAGCTGCTGCCTGACACCCTGCACGATGCCCTGATTTGGCCAACGCACACAGAATCGGTGGTGAGGGGCCTCTTGAAGGTTTTGATGGCGACCGGGTACTTGAGATACTCTCCCTCGTAGAGGTCGTAGCGGTCGGTGTCCTGCAGGTGCCGGCGGAAGGTGAGCTGCTCCCGCCGGATCTCGGTGATGTCCTCCCTTTTGTCCACGTCGACCTTCTTCAAGCCTGCTCCACCAAGGCAACGAGGGACGAGTTGGCAGCGCTCGGCGGAACGGGCGCGTGACAGCTCACATGGCCAGGAAGGTTGTTGCCTTATGCAGCCTCTGATCTCTGCTGGGGGAAGGTGCCCAGCCCGGAGCGCTTCCCCGGGGAGCGAGCCTGGGGCGCCGTGCATGGGGGTCACATCTCTGCCTGGCTCGTGGCCCCACCACCCTCCCTCCTGACACACTTAAGGACAGAGAAACCAGTTGCAAGGATGAAATATCCGGTGGGCTCATGGCTGTGAGCCGGGAGGAAACGTTTCACTCCGTGGGCTCCCTTTTTGCAACGGCAGCGATTGAGCAAGGTGGGAGCCCAGCCGCAACCGCTGCGCTGGTGGCAAGGTGGGCGGCCCTGCGCGGCACGATGGCGGCAGCGACTTACACTCCATCGCGTGCAGCACTTTGCTGAGCTCGCTCTGCATCCAGTCCACCTGGCGCTCCAAGGGCTGCCTGGGAAAAGGGAGCTCCGCCGCCGGCGGGCTTGCAGTGCCTGCGGAAAGCAAAGGGAGAAATGGGGAGCGGATCAACATGTGGGACGGTGATCCTGGCAGAGCAGCTCTGCTCAGGCCACCCACCCTTGGGCTCCGCTCGGCCTCACTGTGAGGTGGGCGCGGAGCGGCGGCGCGGAGGGCAAGGGCACTGCCCTCCGCACGGAAGCCACACTTACTCGCCATCACTTCGTCCACGAAGGCCCTGTCATTGCTCAGGTCCTCTGCGTCCTGCCAGCGGCAGCTCTGCACCTGGAAGGCCTCCAGGAGAACCTGCTTTTGCTCGGCCTGCAGCAGGAGCGAGAGCCCCTGCGCGATGTCCCCCAGGCTCTCGTTGACACGCACGAACTCCTCGCCACTGCTGCGGGCGCACAGAAACTTCTGGATCCAGCTCGCTTGGCTGTACTTGGCCACGAGCTCGTGGGCCTGCTGCAGCGCGCGCAGCAGCTTGCTCAGCAGCTCCTCCTCGTGCGGGGGCACGCCCGCCGCCGGCTGCGGGCGGAGCCACCG